CTTTTATTGAAGATACACCCTCCATTCCAAATTATATTTCACTCTAGCTTTGTCCTAAGTCAAACTTTTCTAACTTTGACCGAGTTTATAGAAAAATGCATCAACGTCTACAATATCCAATTTGTTTCATTAAATTCCCCATGAAATATGTCTTGATAGTGCATTTATTATTTTATTTAACTTATAGATGCTAATATTTTTTTTCATAAAAAACTTGATCAAAGTTAAATAATTTTGGCTTACAAGTATAAAGTAAACTATAACTTGGAACGGAGAGAGTATCATGGAAGGGTTAAACATGCAAAAGTGGAAGAACAAAATGAAATTCAGAATAGCATATTATCAGTAGACAGCACTGCACTTTCAACTCTTTTACCGATCTTTCAATTCTATATTGATTTTTTTCCTACTTCTAAAGGCCATATGCAAGCTTAAGTGATCACTGACCGGAGGGAATAGTCTGTGATGCAAGTATAAGAAACTTTGTATTAGTAGGTCTGTGGGATCACAATTCTTAGTCCAAGAAGGAAAAATTGCCACGCATAGAAGGCTTGTGTGCCACATTCTGAAAAGTGGCCAAGACACAATAGTGTACATAACACACATGTTTACATTTCTTTTCCACACAAGTGCCTTCCTATTATCATAGCAAAAGGCACAAACAAACCTGGCAGGTACTAACAGACAGCAACTGAAAGATGCCATGAACATGACCATACACATGAACTGATGCAGACAGATGGAATCATATGTATTTCAACAACAAAAATAAACTTGCTTGAACAAAACTTACATACTAGTCCAGTAGTGTCGATATTGTATTTGTTCGAAGCCTCAATGTCATTGAGTTCAAGGGAATCCTCTTTTCTATATCTGGAATCATGCACTAAAATAATAACCAACTGAAAAAATAGCATGTCAACCTTTCTAGTTGGTTGAACAATTCATGATGGCTAAATCTTTAGTCACAAACAGAGCTTACTGTAGGGAAAACAACATGTTCCCAATTATGTCAGGGACAGAAATAAGGAAAACTATATTCAGTGTGCCAGAGAACTAGGGGCAAATAATAGACTACTTACACCAGATCAAGCTTAGAGGAATCTCTACAAGGCAGCTTGTAACATACATAAACATCCTTCTGGCCAAAATCATTTTCATTTCCATTTAATGAATTCCCAAATGATTTAGCTAGCTGTGAAATCGGCAATGAATGGCATTCGATCAGGTTAAAGCCACGTGAAGCCTTTCTTGAAATGTTGTTGGTACCATCTTTAATCTGGTGGTCACTAGAAATTCCCTCTGCATGGAAATGTAACATAAAAAAACAAATTAACATGGCATGGTTATATAAAAACAATTAGCAAATGTGAACTGTTTGAGCAGTATAAACGTGAAATTTCATGCTGATTATTACAACTGCCATGTTTAAATAGAAGATACATTAACAAAGATATGCGGTTACATTTCTGTACGCCAAATGCAGAAGTAATATTGGGAATGGGAAACTACAATTGCCTTTTAGCATAATAAGAAAACTAATATGATAAAACAAATCAGCAGCCCTACCTTTAATAGTCCGGCAGTGCTGCGATATGGAATAAAGGATCCAAAACAAATCATTAAAACATAGACTGAAGTGGAGTTTTTGTGTACACATCAGCGGATCAGCACACGCAAGCCTATATACCCACACTCACTTACGGACCACCAAATGGAGTTTGTCCTTGAAGTGGTAAAAATTAAAAGGGACCATATTAGACTGAACTTTATTGCAATTATAATGAAATTTGGCTGGTTAAATGTTCATGCTCACTTTCATGGTAAACACTGATTTTAAATGTGAAATACCATAATTTCCCAGAGTATATATATTGAATCAATAACACTAAACACATCTCATTGAAGCAAGGTACTCACTCCAAATCAGACTGTACTAACTCCCTAAAGTCTTCAACACAGCTAACCCATCAACGTGACATGCCACAATAGGCCTGAGCATTCAAAACCATTGGATCATAATTGTTCAAGCACAGTGCACAGGAGCTAAAGGCTGAAATCGCGCACTACTTCACGGGTTTTGCTTTCACCGTGCTTGTCCGAGCTTCTGAAAAATCAAGCAGGCGGGCTCAAAATGCCAATGTTCCCATCATCATCAGTAGTCCCAAATTCAATTTTCTCGTAGTAGCGGGGCAACAGCTCAAATCGCAACACAGAAACTAATCGCCTTGAACTAAAATCCACTGCACAAAGAGCAGCGTTTGGGCCTTCCTTGTTTGCACGAGCAAGCTGCCTTCTGCCCTATCATCTAGGCAGGAGGCCTTCTCGTCTCTTTGAACCGCTCGGCGAAGGCAGATGAAGCGGAAACGAATGAACGGCAAAACCAAGCGGACGCAAGTGTTGGCATGGGTAAACAAGGAAGGGAATCGGCGGGACCTTGGGCGCGCGCGGAGGAGGAACGAGCAAGCAGCGCGCGGCGAAGGATGCTCCACCGCTGGGTTGCATTAGAGGCGCCACGGGATCCACTGGGTGCTGGCGACGGGGATGGGGGCGGAGAGGAAGAGTCCATCGAAGCTCGAGATGCGTCACGTTTGTTCGTGGCGAAGCACCAGAGACTCGGAGAGAGCGCCGCCTTCTTTGGCGGATCGAGCTCGGCTTCTCTCGGCTCACATCGCCAGAGGCGCAGCCGCCGAGCATTGGCATCGGGCTACCAGGAGCTTTTTGGGCCTATAAATCTTACGGGCTGGGCCCAAAAGTGTTGTGCTAAGTTGAATTATCAAAGGGCCCGTAGTCGGTGGCCTGTTAGTTGCTACCACCGTGCATTCTGCCTATGACCCTGTTTGGATCTTAGCAGCCATGTCCAGTTGCCGTTCCCGTTTTGGGGTATCATTTTATAACATGGGAACAGGAAGGTTTCCGTTCCCGGAACGTGGAACATGGGAACTAGAACATGGGCCATGTTCCCATTCCCAGGCTACTAAGGTTTGGATCGGCTTATCTCGCCATGTCGGCGACGGTAATCGAAGAATTCCGGCAAATGCCTCGCCATAACCGTGATTTTGCTGACCGCCCGCAAGGAGAAAATTTGAGAAATGAGCTACGATTCCTCGTATCGGGGCCACGAGGATGCGGATGAGCTACCGCACCACACGGTCGGAGACCGCAGTTCCAGGCAGGGCCTATGCCTGATGACACTAAGGTGGGGGCTTGTATGATTGTAGATAACTAGAAGCATGAAGGAGAGTTAAAGTTGGGGTCTAGAAACCTTTTGTTTGTTTTGTAGAAGTGAGTTTAGTGGACTTCTTGGCAGAGGCGGAACCAGGGGGGCCAGTGGGGGCCATGCCCCCCCCCCCCCAAACAGTGAATTTTTTTTAATACCCTTATTAATAATACAGTACAAAGCATATTTAGCTCATTTTAACTCGTATTTTATCATAATGTTGTGATTTTTTATGAACACTAACTACATATGTAGAAGCATAGAAAAAATATGTTGAAATGTACACTTACATATTTATAACACATACGATGTGTCATTATGTTTGTCCGCCCCCCCCCCCCCTTAATCAAAGTTGATGGTTCCGCCTCTGCTTCTTGGGGAGGTAATTAAGTGAGAATTATGCTTTTAGTAAAGATGAATGCATCCCCACCGCCTATCATAATTTATCATATAATTTCTCAAAAACTCCATGTCGGATAGCGGATATGAAGATACTAAAAGACAGGCAAGAAACTCGAGACATAAAAAAAGAGCCAAACAAAAGGACGTGAAGATTTTAACTCAGAAGGGCAAAGGAGAGAACGTCATAGAAAGCACCGGAGCTTTATTTTTTGTGACTTAAAGCACCGGAGCTTTCTTGCGGTCACTGTAGCTATCCGGTGGGAGGAGTCCGCAGAGTTGGAAGATGCCACGACATACTTTCGGTGGTCGAACCAGAGTTTGGCACTAGAGAGATAAACAATGCTTGGTGGAGGAGAAGAAGAGACACCATATGATGTACCGGAGTTTAGGTGCTGACCTAAGAAGCCAAAACAGTGCACAAGAACCATTCGGTGGGTGCGGTGAAGAAAGCACCTGAGCTTCACTCTAGAGACACATGCACATGCATTGTGCGCCGGATTTGTCCAATGGCGCACTAAAGAAACCAGAGAGAGGATTCAATGGTCAGCAACAGCTAGTTGGAGTAGAAGGGAGCACTGGATTTCTCCGGTGTGGCCACAGGAGAATTTTAGTGCACCCTGCCGAGACAACCCTTGTTTCCAATTTCTAGTTGGTTGTGTTGGGGCTATATATACCTCCACCTCATTTGAAGTGTGTTAGAGCTTGCTGAAACTATAGTTGAGTTGAGTTGAGTCTCATTACTTTATGCTCTAGCCACCATATGTGCTTAAGAGAAGATTAGGCTATTAGCAAAAGTGCTAAATGCTACTCTAGCCCTTACTTGTCAGCACTTCTTCTATGGCTCCAGTGATACACTATGATGAAGCATCTACAAGTGAGCAGGCCTGGCCCGGCCACGAGCACCGGCCCAACGTCAGGCTGTCCGGCCCAGAGTGGAAGGCTTAGGCATAATAGTATAAGACTCGAGTATGCTAGGAAAGGGGGCTTCAGACAGGAATGTATCACGCTTAGCACTATTCAAGTACTCATATGTTAAGCACTTATCTGTTACATTCTGCACATTATATTCAGTACATCTAAATTCCAGTCGAGCATTCCTGATTTCCTTCTTCTTCTTGAGCAAGCGATTCCCCATTGCTCACAATTGGTATCGGATTTCGCCTTCCTCGATCCTGCTCGTTCTCCCTGTTCGCTCCTCCTTGATCCAGCAACGTAATTCCCGACGGCTGGTTGATCCTCGTCCTCACTTTGGTGTGGTTCGTGGAACCCATAGGTCCGTGCCGAGGTCGTTGTGATCGGCGGCGTGCACCATAGACGAGCTGGAACCCCACCAAATCCACCACACCACTTCACCAGATTCCGTCGCACCCTGGGCGCCATGGATCCCCAACTCAAGGTCATCCTCGACGAGATCCAGAAGTCCAAGGAGGATTTCAATCGCCGATTCGACGCCCACGACGAGCAATGGAAGGGTCGGTTCGTCGATCTCGACCGTGCCGTTGCCGTCGACAAGCGCTTCGACGCTCTTGAGTCCACATGCTCCGACCTCGCCTTCGATATCGGCAAGCGGGCCGCTGATCTGGAAGCTCTCCGCGGCGGCAAACTCCTCACCGACAGCGTCGACCGCGTCACAGCTCTCGAGGTCGCCACCACGGATCTCGGTACCTGGCGCTCGGAGATCGAGGCCCTCGCGGATGATCTGAAGATCGAGGTGAAGAAGATCTCCTAGGCTCCTGAACGCAAGGTGTTCGACGCCCAGCCGCAGTGGCCCAGTGTCGGCACTCCTTCCTCCTCGATGCCCGCCCGTGCTCTTGCCGACGCGCCTGTCAAATCGCCCAGTGGGCACGGCACTGCATCGTCTCACCGGGACGTTGGGTTTGGGTCAGTCATGACCTGGACTAATGTCTCGGTCACGGGTAAGCCTCCCGATCCTCCTCCTCCTCTGCCTATTTCATCCGCCCTGCAGTGTCCTCCTCCTTCCCTTCATTATTGTTCCCCACCTTCGCTCACAATTCCACCTCGCCCACCATTTCATTCCCCTCTGTTCCAAGCTCCTTCCCCAAACCACCTTCATCATCATCCTGTCGGTCGCCTTCCTAAACTCTCCTTTAACAAATTCAATGTTGAAAATCCCTACCGCTGGCGTTCCAATTGCGAGAAATACTTTAACATGAACGCAGTTGATCCATCTATATGGGTCAGCGTAGCTTCCATGTATTTGGAGGGAAATGCTGCTTGCTAGTATGAGTCCATCGATAACACACCTGCCATCGCTTCATGGACCACCTTCTGTCAATCTCTCCATGATCGTTTTGATCGTGACCAACATGAGGCCTTCATACGCTAGCTCTTCCAAATTAAACAAACCTCTACTGTCAACGATTATGTTGAGCGTTTCACAAAACTCGTTGATCAGCTTCTGCTACCACTGATCCACTCTTCTATACTATGCACTTCGTTGATGGACTCCGACCTAAGCTTAAAGCAATTATTCTTGTTTCCAAACCAAAAAGCTTGGATGCTGCTATTTCTATGGCATTGGTGCAGGAGGAGGTGGCCACGGTACCGACGTATCGCGCGTCATCCTAGATTGATTGGACGTCGTCCAACAAATTTATCCCCAAGACGGCGCTGCCATTGCCGCTCCCACCGTGGCCTGACAAGCAACCGGCCCCTACTGCGGCAACACCGTCCCCAGCCACGATGTCTGTTGATGCTAAGTTGGCCGCCGTCAAAACATATCGACGCGCCATGGGACTTTGTTACAAGTGTGGCGCCAAGTGGAGCAAGGACCACAAGTGCAATCCTCAGGTCTAGCTCCATGTTGTTCAGGAATTGTGGGATCTCCTTCAAGATGATGACTCCCTAGCCGATACAGCTACCCCTGCCGATACTGAACCTCAGGTTTTCTTGGCTCTTTCTCAATGTGCTCTTACTGACAGTTCTGCTCCTCGCACCGTTCAGTTTTCAGGGACAGTTCAGGGCATTCCATTGAACATCTTGCTTGATTCCGGCAGTTCAACCTCCTTCATCAGTGAGTCGGTGGCAGCTCAGCTCAGCCAGGTGTCTGTTAAGCCATCTTCATGCCAAGTTCGCATTGCGGGTGGTGGTACTTTTACAAGTGCAGTTACCCTGCTTGTTGTTCAGTGGTCTATCGGCCAACTCTGTTTCACCTCTGATCTTTGGGTTCTCCCACTGACTGCATTTGATATGATTATTGGGATGGATTGGCTGGAATCCTTCAGTCCTATGCAGGTCCACTGGCAACTTAAACAGCTGGTCATACCATATGAGGGCAGTACCGTTCTATTGCAAGGCGAGTCCGTGGAGGCTCCGAGTAAGTTGTTGTTACAAGTCTATAGTCTGGAGAATACAACTGATGCCTTCTCATCTGCCGGTATTCCTACTGCTATACAGTCCCTCCTTGATGAGTTCACTGACTTGTTTCAAGCTCCAGACTCCTTGCCACCTTCTCGCCAATGCAACCATTCAATTCCACTACTTCCCGGTTCTCGACCCTTCTACATCCATCCTTATCGCTATCCTCCAGCCCTTAAGGATGAGATTGAACGCCAAGTACATGAGATGCTGTCACAAGGGCTTATTCAACCAAGTAGCAGCATGTTCTCTTCACCAGTCCTCTTAGTGAAGAAGAAAGATCTCTCATATCGGTTCTGCGTTGATTTCAGGAAGTTGAACTCTATGACTGTTAAGTCCAAGTATCCGGTCCCTATCATCGATCAGCTCCTGGACGAATTGACTCATGCCAGTTGGTTCACCAAGCTTGATCTGAGAGTTGGATTCCACTAGATTTTGCTGTAGCCTAGAGACGAACACAAGACAGCATTTCAGACCCACTTGGGGCACTATGAGTTCCGTGTTATGGCCTTTGGATTGACCGGTGCACCTGGTACTTTTCAAGGGGCCATGAATTGCTGCTTGGCTCCCTACTGCATAAATTTGTCCTCGTCTTTTTTCGCGACATCTTAATTCTGACCGCACTTTGGCGAGCACGTCGATCATCTTACCCAGTCTTTGTCATGGCCGCCGGGATTCATGGAAATTGAAATCATCCAAGTGCTCTTTTGCTCAACGATCAGTCGCCTATCTCGGGCATGTGCTCAGCACAGATGGAGTCGCTACAGAGCCTTCCAAAGTGCAGGCTATCAGGGACTGGCCAAGACCTACAACAGTGCGCGCCCTTTGCGGATTCTTGGGACTTGCGGGATATTGTCGCAAATTCGTTCGGCATTTTGGAACTATTGCACAGCCTCTGACTGAGCTTCTCAAGAAGGATGCACCCTTCATTTGGACATCTTCACAACAGGAGGCTTTTACTGCTCTTCAGTCCGCATTGAGCACTGCTCCAGTACTGGCGCTTCCTGACTTTCAGTGGCCTTTTCACATCGACACAGATGCTAGTGGGGTTGGTATTGGCGCCGTGCTTCATCAGGATGGGCATCCAATTGCATTCATCAGTAAGGCTTTATGCCCTCGTAACTGTGGATTATCCGCTTATGAGAAGGAGTACCTCGTAATCCTTCTGGCAGTCGAGCATTGGCATCACTATCTCATCCAAGGGGAATTCTTCATCCACACTGACCATAGAAGTCTCACCCACCTCAATGAGCAACGCCTAAATACGGTATGGCAACAGAAAGTCTTTACCAAATTGTTGGGCTTGAGTTACAAGATTGTGTATAAAAAGGGTTCGGATAACACAGTCGCTGATGCACTCTCGCGCCGATATACTGAAGAATTACACCTGGCCGTTTCTTCTTCTTCACCACAGTGGTTGTCCGACATGGCCAGTTCTTACTCTGACAGTCCACTGGCTCAGGAGATTTTGTCTCAGTTGGCAGTTAATCCGGATGCATTACCACATTATTCGCTCAGCAATGGAGTCATCCGTTACAAGGGGCGTATCTGGTTGGGCCACAGTGAGCAACTCCAGACTCAAGTGCTAGCAGCTCTGCAATCCAGCCCACTCGGCGGTCACTCCGACATACCAGTCACTTATCAGAAGTTGAGACAGCTATTTTTTGGCCTAGCATGCATGCGGCCACAACACAATTCATCAGAGCTTGTGATATTTGTTAGCGCACTAAGCCTGACCGCTCTCGTTCTCCAGGATTGCTTCAACCCCTCCCAATTCCTTCGGCAACCTAGGAAGTCATCAGCATGGACTTCGTCGAAGGACTTCCACCATCTGGCTCCGCCAATGCTCTCCTGGTGGTGGTCGACAAGCTGTCGAAGTTTGCTCATTTTATTCCTTTGCGTCATCCATTTACAGCAGCTACAGTGCTCGCCTCTTCATGGATAATATCTACCGGCTTCATGGAATGCCGCTCGCCATCATATCGGATCATGACCGCATCTTTACCGGTGCCTTTTGGAAGACTCTTTTCAGCATTGCGGGCACAACTTTGCGCATGAGTTCCGCTTATCACCCACAGACGGACGAACAGACGGAGCGTGTTAATCAGTGTCTTGAAACATACCTCCGCTGCTTTGCCCACGCCTGTCCTTCCAAGTGGACTCAATGGATCGCCCTCGCTGAGTTCTGGTACAATTCTTCTCACCATTCCTCATTGGGTCGATCTCCATTCGAAGTGTTGTATGGCTTTCCTCCATGGCATTTTGGCATTCGTCCTCCTACCGCAACACCTGTCGCTGACCTCAATTCTTGGCTCGATGATCGGGCTCTGATGACTTCAGTGATTCAGCAACACCTCAGCCGGGCTCAAAACCGCATGAAGCACCAAGCCTATAAGCACCGTTCTGAACGCTCTTTTGCTGTTGGTGATTGGGTCTTCTTGAAGGTTCAGCCTTATGTGCAGTCTTCACTTGCCCGCCGTGCTAATCAGAAGCTTTCATTTCGGTTCTTTGGCCCATACAAGATCCTAGAGCGTATTGGTGCAGCAGCTTATAAGCTGGCTCTTCCTTCTTCCTCATCCATTCATCCCGTCTTCCATGTATCACAGCTCAAGGCTTCTCATGGTAAGCTGCCGGTGTCTGATGTTCTTCCAGATGATCTTGCCCAGTTTCAGGTGCCTCAGCGGATACTTGATCGCTGCTAGACTCTGAGCGACTCACCTGTGGAGGAGGTCCTCGTGCAGTGGTCCCAAATGCCACCGTCGCTGGCCACCTAGGAGACGCTGGAGCACTTGAAGCAGCGTTTTCCAAGAGCTCCGGCCTGGGGTCATGTCAGCTCCAAAGGAGGAGGGATTGTCAGCACTTCTTCTATGGCTCCAGTGATACACTATGATGAAGCATCTACAAGTGAGCAGGCCCGGCCCGGCCGCGAGCACCGGCCCAACATCAGGCTGTCCGGACCAGAGTGGAAGGCTTAGGCATAATAGTATAAGACTCGAGTGTGCTAGGAAAGGGGGCTTCAGACTAGAATGTATCACGCTTAGCACTATTCAAGTACTCATCTGTTAAGCACTTATCTGTTACATTTTGCACATTATATTCAGTACATCTAAATTCCAGTCGAGCATTTCTGATTTCCTTCTTCTTCCTGAGCAAGCGATTCCCCATTGCTCACATTACTCTAGGTTTAGACATAGTGTTTAGTAAGATTTACGTACCTCCTTACTATCGGTGCTTGCACGCAACAAGTTTTGTAGCCCTCCGGGCTTGTAAGTCTTGTGAGACTCTCCAACCAAGCTTGTGGAGTGGCCCTCGGTGGTGTGCGAGGGACATGAGGTCCTTGTCGTTTTGACCGAAGCTCACATAGTGGAGACGATTATTATGAGTTTTTTTCCTCATGCGTCTCGTGAAGATTAATGTTAAGTCTTATTCAAAATCTCTTGTTAGTAACAGTAAGATGGATCAGTGACGGAACCAGGGGGCAGGCAGGGGCCGTGCCCCCAACCCCACCCCCCTAGCACAGTACATTTCATATATTACCTATATAAATATTTGAATTTATAGCATAGAAATATCAATTTCCACTCATTTTGTATTAAACTAGTATTGTTTTGGTTATAAACAGTGTAAAAGTTTTTAAAAAGTTGTCGAAACATATAATTATGTATATTTTATCACACTAAAAAATACGATCATGTTTGTCCGGCCCCTCTTAATCAAAATCGTTGTTTCTGGCTCTGAGATGGATCATTAAAGGTGGCCATATGTTGCACATGCCAGCTGTTGGATACCAGATTGTACACTAAATTTCACATAGGACAGTAAGAAACATAGATTGGCTGTGCGCTCTTCTTCCACGACAATCACACTACATCAGCTAGTAATAGTATAAGCAGTGGCAAGCACTACGCGTATGTGACACGGGACAAGGAGTCAGGAGAGGAGCCCAATGCAAAACAACACAAGGGCACTGGCAGTTATACCACCCACCGATCGTCACGGACTCGCGGTCACATCTGAACGTTGATGTGCCTGGTCTCGTCTCCCGGCGACAGCGAGAAGGTGGACTGCGTCGTCCTGTTGTTGTAGCTCACCGTGAGGACGTACTCCCCCAGGTAGCCGCTGAAGCTGTAGGCGCCGTGCGCGTCGGTCTGGCCGCCCGCCTGCAGCGTCCGCCACTCGTTCAGCAGGCGGTCGACCACGTCCCCCGTGGGCAGGTTGCTGAGGTTCCAGTCCGTGAGGCACATCTGGTAGCAGCCGCTGGGGTGCAGCGCCGTCCACAGCATGACGCCGCTGACGGCCGGGTGCGAGTAGGCCTCCCGCAGCACCTGCTCCAGGTACGCGGCCTGCGTCTGCGCGTCGAACTTGTTGCTGATGTCGATCTCAGTGAACCAGATGGGCAGCCCCAGGGTGGCGAGCTTGTCGAGTATGGCCCGCATCAGCAGGATGTTGGGCTTGGAGAAGTGGCCCTCCAGGCCGATCCCCTCCAGGATGGCGCCGCCGGACCGGAGCTCCTTGAGCTTGGCCACGTACGTGTCGACGGTGGAGAAAGGGTCGTCGCAGGTCTCGATGACGTTGTACTCGTTCATGAACAGCGTGGCCAGCGGGTCGGCGTCCTGCGCGACGCTGAAGAACTCCATAGTCGCGTTGGGCCCCAGGCGCTGCTCGTAGAAGTTGTAGTGCAGCATCTCGTTGTTGACGTCCCAGTGCGCGAACTCGCCGCGGTAGCGGGTCATGAGGCTCTGGATGCGCGTGTTCACGGCGGCGCGGAGGTCGTCCGCCGTCAGGTTCTTCACCCACCGGGGCGTCGCGTCCTGGTTCTCCCAGAAGATGTTGTGGCCGCGCACCATCACCCGGTGCGACCGCACGAACGCCAGCATCTGGTCGGGCACGTCGAAGCGCAGCAGCCCCGACATGGGCTCCGTGGAGTACCACTTGAGCTCGTCCTCGAACACCGCCGCGTTGAAGCGGTCCACGAACCACTGCTGGTACGCCTGGTTCCCCAGGATGGTGGAGGCGATCGCCGACCCGATCGGGAAATCCTTGGCCGTCT